GGAAGCCTCAGATCTGGAGACACAAAGACCATCAAACATTTGTGCCTCCTGAGTAAAGGTAACCAGAAAAATTCCATACAGCCTAGATGACAACGGAACAACCAACTATTAAGCTATTGATCCAATTCTGTCAGGGTACCAAACACCAAACTATACCACTATACAATCATAACTACAAGCTCAAACTTAAGGTGCTTCTCATTGTGCTAAAGATATCTGTAAGTTTTAAAAATGCTAATGCTTTCAATCAAGTCATGTCTAACATGAATGTGCTGCTAATGTGCCTAATACTTACATTTTCACAAACTCAAAGGATTCTTGTAAGTTCCAAGGAGCCGAATTGGACCCACCTAAACAAGTCAGATTCACTCCAGATAAATATTATTCAATTTCTCCCTGGTCCCCAGACTCCCTCCCCTCATCTTGGAAACCCCTCCCTCATCTTACAATCTTCCCCTCAAGTACCAGGACCTAAGAAAAAAAAATTTCTAAACTAAACCTTGTCCTCTACTCTGCTAACATTTTGCCAGGTCTACAGAGGTGCCAGAGTTCCACACAGCCAGGACTGCAATGGAACAACTAGCTACTCCATGAAGTGACAACACCCCAGCTTTCTCAGGTCCCCAAAGATGGTCAATGCCCTGCAAGTCAGCAGGAAGTAGTCTTGAGAACTCCACACTCTTATTCCCTAACTTGCCACACCTAACTCCCCATGTTTTTAATAATAATAAGTGGTGAGATTGTTGGAACTTTGGCATTATGCTGACCCCGCCCCCTGACAATGGGCAGGACAGGCATAGTAGTGTGGCCACATCATGGCTACATCACCCATTACCAGGCTGCTTAAGGCCTCAGTATGCATGTGCAAGCTTCCCCTTCTAAGCCAGTGCCCCTCACCCTCCCTCCTCTTTCTCTCTGCTCCCAGTTGGCCAACATCCCACCACCACTACCACCACCACCACCACTTGTTCCCTTCCTTCAATAAACTCCAGGTGGGTTTGTTGACTCATGGTTCCTGTTTGATTGCCCACCACATGAACGAGAATAAGTTCTGCAAATGCCAGAGTTATAAAACAATTGCCCCGTCTCTCAACCTTGAACAAAAAGTTACTTGGTCCACTCCTAGGTTCTGAAACTACTATTGGGCAGAAAATATATTCTCAGATCTGAAATGTTTCCTTTTCTAATGCAGCCACTTTTTGGTGAAACTGCTAACGTGAATCAGCGCTGTTCGCTTCCTCCTTGTTTACACAGGTTGTCATGGTTACTCACTACTTTTGGAGGAAGCTGCACTCTAAGCCAAAGAAAGCAGTGCTTCTTGCAGTTTGCCTTTTTTGCATTTTTCTGACCACAAAATATTAGCCTACACTATTAATTACACCTAAAAAATGTAAAATAATGCACTATTCTTTTTTTTTTTTTTTAGATTTTTCAATGGTTTAGTTTCCTTGCTTTGTAAACCTGTAGGGGCCCTTTTAAGAGGCAGCCAGAACCTTCACAGCTGCAGCTGCCCTGATGCTGCAAACTAGCTGATAAATTTTGCTGTGTATCTTCAAAGAATGCCTGTGTCCCTGATAATTTGCCTTGTAGGTATTTTGTTGTTGTTGTTTTGTTTTGTTTTTTTTACTAACAAGTTGCTAGTGAATGGGTGTGTGTGTGTGTGTTTGTGTGTGTGTGTGTGTGCTTGGGATTTTGTAATAGCAGAAGAGTAAAGAATGTAGAAGGATAAAGAATGTAGAGGAGTAAGGAATGTAGGAAAAATAATGTAGAAAAATAAAAAGAGAAATAATGTAAAATAATTGGGACAAGAAAGAAATGGAACAGAGAATTGGAATTAGAATTGAGAGAGAATTGGAGCTAAGAAATTATAGACTATTAGGATGGAAGAATTAGAATAGGGACAGAACAATAAAGAGACATATTTGGAACAGCAAGCGATTGAGCCTTTTGCACAAACCCTCAGTCTAATTAGAGCTATCCTAAGCCCCTCCACTATGCTGTCATCTGATCTGAACTCTGGAGGAAGTCTATAGAGCTAGACTCTGAAAGCTTCTGTTAATGTGTCATGGGGAATTCCTTTTCTGGTATATTTAGTGTTCTGTATACTTCTGGTACCTTGATAGGCATCCCTCCTTTAGGTTAGAGAAATTTTCTTCTTTGATTTGTTGAAAATAGTTTCTGTTCCTTTGACCTGGGTTTCTTTCTTCACCTTGCTCTATTCCTATTATTTGTAGATTTGCTTTTTGCATAGTGTCCCAGATTTCCTACATGTTTTATGCTGGAATTTTTTTATTTTAGTTTTAACATTTTCTTCTGTCTTCTCCTCAATGATTGAGATTCTCTCTTCCATCTTTTGTATTTTCTTGATGAGGCTTGTTTCTGAGGTTCCTGTTCAAGTTCCTAAATTTTTCACTTTGTTTTCCCTCAGTTTGGGTTTTTCTCATTGATTGTATTTTCACTTTCAAGTCTCAAACTATTTTATTCATTTCATTCCACTGTTTGTGTTTTCATAGATTTATTGATTTCCTCTTTAAAGACCACTAACATATTCATTCATAAAGGCTATTTTCAAGTCCTTGTCTTATGCTTGTTATGCTCAGCTACAGAGCCTACTGTAGCAGAGTTCCTGGGCTCAAGTGGAGACATATTGTCTTGGCTATTACTGTGTTTTTATGGTGGCTAGATAGCTGGGTTTATGATGATTGTAATTCTTAGGTGCTGGTATCTGGTCTTGACTTTGTTGGGTAGGTTTTTTGTTCCTTGGATTCTGCTGCCTTCTCTGGTTCTTAGGAGTGTGTGGTACCTGAAGGTTGCCTGGTAGGGAATGCTGCTGTGATCACTGGTAGGGAATGCTGCCAAGTGTGATCTCTGGAGGTTCCAGTTATACAATGTTCTAGGTGTTGGGGGCTGACATTTAGAAATGGGCATAGGCTAGAAGGGGGGGGTTGCTGAGAAGATCCACAAAAGGGAGGAAAGCAGTGTACCCCCAGATTCTGCTTAATCCCCTGGGAATGAGAGCAGAGAAGGAGGACAGGCCACATCAGGTGATCTGCTACAGAGATGGGGATGAGAGTGGGGGATTATATTTGGAGGAGAATGAAGATCTGACAATCATGCCTACATCCCTTGCCTATTGCTTCTCTGACAGGCACGGTGGACAGGCTCGGGGGGATGCATGTGAGAGTTGGGGGCTGAGACAAAGGGATGGGTGAGAAAGAAGGTGGTAGAACATGAACTGTTGACTGTGAGGGCAGAGAGGAAGGGGAGGCCACAGCAGGTGGTCTGCTACAGATCTGGGCATGAGACTAGGGGATTGGATTTGGAGTAGGGAAAGTGAAGACCTAATTGTTCTCTCTTTCCATAACAACAACTTAGGTTGACTCCTTTAAATATATATGCATATATAAATACAAATATTTTTAAACATTTTAAAGATACTTTGACTTCCATGGTCTCTTTAAATACATACTAATAGGGTGCTGGAGAGATTGCCCAGCGGTTAAGAGCACTGGCTTCTGTTCCAGAGGACCCAGATTCAATTCCCAGCACTCATATCACAGTTCACAACTGTCTATAACTCCAGTTCCAGGGCATCTGATATCCTCACATAGACCATGGTTTCTATGGTCTGGCATCTGCTGGGGTCCTTGCGGTTGTCTGTGGTTATGTGGATGGGTGGTGGTGGGTGGTGTTATCACCAAAGGCTAAGTTAGTCTGAGCTGCCATCTGAAGTCATGTTGCTGTCTGTAGACCATGCTATTACCAAGGGCCACAATAGTGTCCAAGGTCCATATTGTGGCCAAGGGCCATGTGGATGTCCATGGCTCATATTTCCACCAAAGGCCATGGGAATGTCCATGGTCTTTACTGCCACCTGAATCCATATCGATTTCTGTGGTCCATGCTGTAACCAGAAACCTTATGGATGTCCATGACCCGTGCTCCTACTAGGGGCCATGTTAATATCTGTGGTCCATGTTACCCCGGAAGACCGTATTGATGTGTGTGACTGGTGCTGCCACCTAGGCCATGTGGATGTCCACAAACAGTGTTACCACTGAAGGCCATGTGGATGTTCATAGTCTGTGATACCACCTGAAGACATGTTGATGTACATGAGTCATGCTGCTGCCAGGGGCAATGTTTGTATCTATGGCCCATGTTACCACTGAAGGCCATGGGGATGTCTATGATTTGTGCTGTCATCAGAAACCATGTGGAAGTTCACGATCCGTGCTGCTGCTGACTACAAAGGTCAAGGAAGTTTCTTTTACAATAGTATGATGACTGCAGACTCACAGATGAGAATGAGAGAGACAGAAGGCTCCTAAGACAACCCCCACCAAAGGAACAGTCTAGACAGGAAGCCACTGAAGAAAACTCTTAAAAATTGTGACAGAGATGCCAAAGTGCAGCTCTTCACAGGTGATGGCTTCTGGCAGGGGTTGGGATGGGGAAAGGCTCAGTTTTTTTAAGGGGCTGGCCACTAGGAGTTTGACCATGCTTGAGTGAGTATATAGGAAACACAAAGTGGGATAAAACCAAAAATTATTGTTTTTCTATAACATCCAATAAGCAATGTTTGTAAGGCTCTAAATTTTTTAATTTAAAGTTTTATTGGTTTTCTGTTGCTCTCTCAATAAATAGGCTGACAGTGCCAAAGGCTTAAGCTCACATTTCTCAGATTGGCATTGTAAGCAATTGCTGAGGTTTGTTCTGGCTCAGTTCTATGGTTCTCTGAGAAGTGGTTATGAATTCATAGCTAACTACTTAAATAGGAAATAAGCTTTAAAAATACATAGAAAAGCTGAACATGGAGGGTTCCCAAAAGCCCAGTGCCAGCCTGGACTACATGGCAAATTCCAAAGCCAACATGAGACCCATCTCAAAAAAAAAAAAAAGAAAGAAAGAAAAAAAAGAAGAAAGATCTGACTAGCTTCAAATGCCACACTTCCCAGTTGTTGTTCCATCATATCACCCTCAGAAATGACAATACAAACTGTCCTTTTCAATACACTTTAGACTTCAGTCCCAACAAGTACTAACAAGTTTAAAAAAAAAAATACTGAGCTTGCAGCTGGGTGTGGAGGTATATGACTACTGTTCCCGCACTCAGACAGCAGAGGGGAAATGGATTATGAGGTCAAGGTTGGTCTGAGCTGTGAGACTTTGCCTCATTAGTCTACAAGCATTCCATTGAGACAGTTCAGGTTGAAGATAGACTTCTTTTGATGATCCTTGGGGATGAGAACCTTACATGAACATGAAGGAGTTCACTTTCTCACTCTGACTCCTTGTCAGTGTCTTGATTGTTCAGGATAGCTGGAAGACAAGGATTAAAATTTTATGTACACACCAGAAATAGGATCATCAAAATCTCACTATAAAGATAATAGATATGCCTCATAGCCCCTTTAATTAACTAAGTTAATTTAAAAATCATTATTATTAACAAGTATTTTATATGTGAAAAAACAGGTGTGCATTTAGCCTTACAGTCTTACAAATATATTCAATTTGCAAAACATAATGCTAGTGTGCACAAATTTTTGCCAAATATGTACATCACGTGTGTGTGTGTGTGTGTGTGTGTGTGTGTGTGTGTGTGTGTGTGTGAGAGAGAGAGAGAGAGAGAGAGAGAGAGAGATTATGAATTATGTAACAGGCTGTGTCTCACAGGGTTTTTTTTTTCTACCAATAAGCTAGCATCTTGGCCAATAAATGTTTCTTTTCTTTCTCTCATTTTTTTTCTTGTTTAGTTTTTGGTTTTGTTTTGAGAAAAGGTCTCTTATTGTCCATACCTGATATTGAACTCTTGATCCTCCTGCCTCCACTTCCCAAGTCCCAAGTGCTGGGATCAAAGGCATGTACTGCTTCTAAATTACTATATTTAGTTTGAGATTTCAGAGAAAAAAAACCTAGACAGTCCATTCAGGCAACTGCCGACTTGGGCCATGGAGGCCTAAAAGCAGGTCCAAAATGGCTCCCAAAGCTCAAAGGCATTGCAGAGCTCAGAGTAACCAAGCAGCAGAAAAAAAGTGGTTAAACAAGACAAAAATTCTGCCAAGGATGGATATGAGCAAAAAGAAGGAGAAGGGGTATGTATGGACAGGCAGAACTCAGCTCAAAGTCATCACAACATCCCAAAGATAGCTGGACCAAACAGCATCCCAGCCTGGCTGTTGGACAGCATCCAGAAGAAGCAGAAGGCAAAGTTCAAGATACTTTGGTATTTTCTAGAATCATTCTTTCCCATACTCTCATGCATCTTCTAGAATCATGGCTTTTGAAGCTGTATCCTCTCATTCTACAACATAATCTAGACTGCCTTTTACTCAATCTTCATTTCTAGGTAGCACCTCTTTTACAGCCCCAACCAGGCTATCAGAACTCCATGAGATGCCTTGCCAAGTTCCTCTAGCTTGAGACTTACACCATTCTATCTAGTCCCTAGAGAAGCTATCCTGCATTTCTGTAGCATTCACATTGCCTCTCGGTGACTTGACAGGAAGATCATGCAACCTGGGTAACAGAATAGCCACCTCAGGTCTTGTCCCGAGCCATGGCTGGCATGCAGCGCTGTGGCTGTCACAGTATACACTGCTACCAGATCAGTTCTCAGTAATAGAACCAGGCACTGCAAGCCTCACAACTCAACCTGGGGCTCCAAGCATCATGTAGAGCCTGCTTGGCCTAAGGACTCCTCATGAAAGAAAGGACAAGAGCAGTGCCCCCAGCACAGTCAGACAGGACTGTAATCAAACAGGAGAACCATCGTGCTGAAACTGGAGAGCTGAGCTATTTAAATTTCTAATGAACATATGGCAATCAAAGTGCAAGACTGTGGGAAAAGATACTTCTGTTGTGTTACACATACTACAAGAACGCAAAGTCAGAAGAGAAAAACCAAGTGTTTGGTTGGAGCTATTATATAAACTATAGAGTAATGTAAACATCTGTTATTTTAGAAAAGGAAGAAAGCAACATGTATAGGAGTTTGCAATGATTAGGAAGCATTAGCAGCCTGGTCAGGTGCATGCCCTTAGAGGGAAGCTCCTACATTAACACATCTGCAACTATTCTTTTCTTTGGTATCAGCTAAACGGTTTGGGAAAAAGAAACTGAACATGTCTAGAAGAATTCTTCCCTTCCACCTTTGAGGGGTTTGGTTTGTTTTATTGGTAGGTTTGTGTATGTGGTAATATCTGGTGTATGCATACAGTTGTGTCAGTGCGCCTACATATGGAGGCCAGAGCAGGACATTAGGTGGCTTCCTTTATTGCTCTCTGCCTTATTCCAGGAAGACAGGATCTCTTACCAAACCAGAAGCTAGACTGGCTGACAAGTGAGCTCTTGGAATCCACCTATCTTCATCCCCAAATGCTGAGGTTACAGACATGCAGACATGCCACATGCAAACATGCTATCCTTTTTACATGAGTCCTGGGATTTGAACTCAGGTCCTCATGCTTACACAACCATCACTCATACCTATGGAGGCATCTCCCTAGTTTACTGTCCACTATCTTTCTATGATACCAATTGAGCATGCTTAGAAGTGGTCATATCTGTTGTTTTGTTTTAATTATACTTATTGCTGGGCATGGTGATGAACACTTTTAACTCCATCACTCAGGAAACAGGCAGACAGATGTCTAAGGCCAGCCTGGCTTATACAGCAGGTTCCTTACCAGCCAGGGACAGAAGGTGAGACACTGTCTCAAACAAAAACAAAAACATACAAACATTTCTTTATGGTGTTTGGGCAGGAGTGTGTGTGTGGAAGTCACAGGGCCCTACAGGAGTCAGTTCTCTCCTTCCAACACCATGTGGGTTCCAGGGATCGAACTGAGGTCACTGGACTAGGTGGCAAATACCTTTACCCTCTAAGCTGCCCTGTCTGCCCCTAAATGCTCCCCTGAGCTAAGCATGGCCAGGATGGGTCCAGTCTTTCTTCTAGTATGACCTTTAACTGAGCACAGTGGAACTCTCTATGCAGCTTATTCTTCTGCCTCAGCCTAGCCAGTGCTGGGATTACAAATGTAAGCTACTAGGCTGGGCAATAATACACATCTGCAAGTGAGTATGCTGGGGACTGTGCTACTCCACAGCAGCATCCTATATGAATATCCTCACACAGCCTTTGCTTGAGGAGGGCAACTGTTTTCAGAAGAAGGCCAGAAAACTCTTTACTGCAAATAACATTTCTCCATTAGTTTCTCTTCTGTTGTGTCTGCCAATAAGCACTCACGAAGAGAACAGTGTGTTTGCTTGTAAACAGATTAGGGCTCATTGATCAATGAAAGGTTAAGAGAAACTTGCTTGCAGAGGCAGAGGCAGGCAGATCTCTGTAAATTTAAGGCCAGACTGATCTACATAGCAAGTTCCAGGCCTGTCAAGGCTACAGTGAGGTCCTGTCTCAAAAACAAACAGTCACAGAAACTTGGTGTAAAATTCTGAAGCACCAGAGTGGATGGGTATCTCAATGATACCAATCCCTATAACAGGTAGGAAGGTTAAACACTGTCTTTTAATACACATTCCTGTAACATGGAAGTAAGAAAGTAAACACTGTCATTCCCAACCTCCAGTTCAGCAAGGGCTCTGGATATTCATCTTTTAGTTAGGTAATCAGGCATACTTACCTGAGACTTTGTCTGGAGTTATATGGGCATGGAAACAGGAAGTGAGTCCTTCACCTTTATAGCCACAGCACCTGGCAGAGCTGGTGAGGTTCTGGAACTGGCACTTGTCCGGCTTTCCTGACACAGCAGGCAGCTTTCTGGCTGTTGGTTATCCCCAAATCTGCAGCTCATCCTCAGCCTACTCTTGTAATGAGGTGCCTTGAAGCTCTGTTTCTTTGTCTTTCCTTTTTGAGACAGGGTCTCATGTTGCTGCCCCTGAACCCCCTGAGGATGACCTTGAAATTCTGGTCGTGTAGCCTACACATTTGAAGAGCTGGGATTACAGGCATGTGCCGCCATACCCAGTTTATGCATGCTGAACTACATCCTAGGCTTTAGATCTATTTCTTCAGGAAAAATTTGAAAGCCTCCTAAAGATTCTGAGAACTATCTATACTCTTTAATCCTCTTCTACCTACAGAATGAGAAGAACCCTCTTACAGAAGATCTCATCGCCTAATTTTTGAGACAAGGTCTTGACATGTAGGTCAAACTCATGGCACACACACACCACTACACCCCTGCCCTGCTTCATCCTTCCTAATGCTAGGATGATGGGCATTCACTACCACACACACCAAGGGCACATGCTCAGTGGGTACAAGGCCATGTGTAGATTTAAGGCCCACCACCACAAAAAGAGGAAAGGAATTGGTTTGGTTGAGGAGAAAGGATTCAGCAAAGCTACAACATAAATGTGGCTCAGGCTACGTTACAAAAGACAACAATGGTATAGGCTGAGAAATGCCCAAATGCAGAGCCCAGAAGAACTCAAAAAATCAACTGCAGATGTCCTCCCAATTGAACTGGGAGTAAGCAAAGGCTCTGGGAACTGAAGCTTCCTCAGTCTTTCCAAGGACTCTCCCTTAAGAATTTTCCACCTTGGAGGGAGGGCTCAGACGTTAAGAATACTTAGTGACCTTTGAGAGGATCCAGGTTTAATTCTCTGCAGCAACATGGTGGCTCACAACCATCTTTAACTCCGACCCTCGGGGACCTAGTGTTCTTTTCTGATCTCCCTGGGCGACAGACACACACATGATGCACAGACAAATATTCAGGCAAAACATCTATACCCAAAAAATAAAAATAGTTAAATCTTTAAAAGAAAGAATTTTCTTCCCAGTGATTTTAATCATCCCATGAAAGACCCAGTGAAGGCAGTTGTCATCCCATGCAAACCTATCATCCGACAGAGCCTCAGGAGGCATCATGGGCTAAGACCCCAGAGGAGGAGAGAGCTCAGAGGCCAGCAGACAAATGATGAGATCCTTTCTTCAAACCTGTCTGCCGAGGGTGTTGCTCGGTGGTAGAGCACTTGCCTAGCATGCAGACAGCTCTGCATTCAATCCACACCATCAGAAACCCACCCAGGAGAAATAAATAGAACCTGTTAAACCTTGCTGAAACCATAACTTAACCAAATATCCAGGCTTACACCTGCAATCCCAGCCCTTGGAAGGCTGAAGCAGGAGAACTGCCATAAGTCTAAGGCTCTACAGAGAGTTCCCAGCCAGCCTGTGAGTCTGTCTCAAAATAATAATAATAATAATAATAATAATAATAATAATAACAAAAGATGTACCTCTCACTAGCTGCTCATCAAAATGATTAAAAAAAGAAGGGAAAGAAACCCAAGATAACCTGCTAAGACTTGCAAAACTGTTTGGCAAAAATACAACAAGCAAAACATGACCCAATCTGGCGATGCCCACAGCTGTTGCCTAAAGCAAGTCTTGAGCCTGAAGCCTGTAGCAATAGGACATGGACTAATGCTCAGCCAAGTAGGGCATCCTTTATAAAGTCCATTCGGGTATGTCACAGAACATTCGTGAACATAAAAATCTCCTATAGGACAGAACCCAAGGCCTCTGAGGGCACTGAGACAAGGAAGCTACTCTTAGAACTGTCAATCAGGGATTGCCTGATGGGCAAACAAAGGGATATTCACACATTACAGCAAAGAAGCCACTGTTCTTGCCAAACAGTACCTTTTAAGTGCTAAAGATCAACTGTCCCATTCCTGATTCTTTCCTTTCTTCTGCTTTTTAACTTCTTGAAGTTCTGGGGGATGGTTCGTGGCAAGCAAATGCTGTCCCCTTCAGCCCATGAGTCATCCTTCCTTTAAACTTGCTGCAGTTCCCCTGTGCCCAGGAATCCTGTATGTGGTGTTCTTGGGGCAGAAAACACAAGGAGCCATGGCCTAACCTAACTGAGAGGACAACAAAGTGATATTATGGTCTTGGGGCTAATATGTGGTGATAATTGGTGAGTTTCTCCTTGGGGCTGGAAAGGTGAGTGTTTTCTGTCTCAGGAGAGTGCAGATAGAAATGTAGATGATGAACAAAGTTGACTGGGGTTGATTTAAGACCAAAGAGTGTCTTCCAAACATTGCCTTTTCCATTATAAGAGAGTCCTAAGTTGAGGCTGGTCACTTCCCCTTGTGGGTTATTCAGCTTGCAGGGTAATGAGTAGTGCCATGTGACCTGTAGTAGTAGGACACAGACTAAGGCTGTCAGCCAAGTAAGACATTTATCCTAAAGTCCATTCAGGTATGTCCCTGATCATCTAAGGACAATAAAAACATGGGAGATGTAAATTCAAGTACTGGTGAGTTCTTCTGGAAAATTCCAAAAGTTCTTTTTTCCATCCTTCCCCACTGCCATGACAGAGAGAGTGAAGTGATTTAAGGGTAAAATCATGCACTACGAACAGCAGAGTAGAAAGGTGGAGAGTTCCACATTACTCCTTCTAGATTTCCTTAGAGAAAAAGGAGACTTCCAGTCTACTTTAAATCATTGTCATTGGTTTTCTATCACATGAGGAACGGAAGGCAAGCACATGAATAAAGAAGCTCTGATATGGGGGCAGATGCTACTCAACCAAAGCCTTCTAGAGGGTGGGGTGCTAAAAACAAGCCAAAGTCACCAGTCACACTGAGGGAAATGGCTCTTTCAGAATAACTGTGAGTATCAAAGAGGGGTTTTCTGAGAGAGGAAGATAAGCACCCATGTTAGAAAACCATCCTCAGAGTGACAGCAGGTTATCCTCAAGCTACAGGAAGAACTCTCTCACTGAGCTAATGACAATGTCATCACACCATGGGATATGGCCCTTGAACCACTAACAAAAATGAAGAGCAATGGGAGGAGTGGCTGAATTTGTTTTTGTCCTGGTTCTGATAGATTTCAATCCTTAGATAAAAAAATTGTGTTCTCACTTAAAAGGTCTCTTCCTTTATTCCAAATGTGCTTTAAAGTATTTATTGAGTGAAGATAAAAGAAGGGATGTTGAAAGATGAGACAGATGTTGAGTTAACAGTTTTCTTCCAAGTTCTGGCAGATGTCAGGACTTTACGTGTCTGTTCAAAAGAAGTATGCTCACATTTTAAACATATCTTCCTTTATCCTGAGTGCTCTTTTACTTAAAGACACATTACTTTACTTTTTGAAAGTATGGTCAGCTCATCATAGATTACAAATTATAAACATGTTCTCTAGTAAGATCAATATAAATGATCATAAAGAATTACAAATAATTTTGAAATAAATCACTGCACCATAATGATGGTCATGTAATTATGTGGCATTTGAAAAATGTTCACCAGTGAAAATTTTGGAGAACTTTTCAAATTTTCTTTAATGTAGATTTCTCTACTTCTTCAAATACATAGAATACAACATGAATTTCAATCATCTGAAGATAGACTATATTTAAAATGAAAATGGTTATCAATTTATAATGGTTTGTTTCCCTAAACAAACAAAAGAAAATTACATACGTGGCTTAAACTCCAGTTCTCCTGCTGGCCCTGATGGAGCAATCCCTTGCTGAAATTTCTTGTGTTCCAGCTGCTGTACAGCCTGGTGAGAGAAAAAAATATCAAAGTTTTGCTTGGTTGTTTTGTTTATATATATACTCTTGGACACTGAGGAAGGATGAATACTATCTAATGTCACACTAAGGTTCAAGAGCAGAAGAAGGCAGCAGGTGAGATGGGCTCTGAGGCAGAGTCCACAGCTGGTCATCGGTAATAAGATAAAAGCCCTGTCTTCCATGTGGTCCCCACCATCTCTTCCTCCAGTCTGTGTGAGGACTGCCATTATTTTTATACATATCCAGTTACTCCTCTGAAAGAGACTGCCCTCTTAGCCAGGTTTTGTAGTGCACATCTGCAATCCCAGCACCTGGGAGGAAAGGCCAGAAGACCACGAGTTCAAGGTTATCTTCACTCTGCAGAATTTGAGGCCACTACACAAAACCTTGCCTCAATTAAAGCAAACAAACAAATGATTTGGTAAGGGTGAGAGGTTCAGGTGGCTGGGTTTCATTTTCAGTTTCACTTTTCAGCTTGCTTTATAGACTGCTGCTACACCGGCTGGCTAGGTCGCTCTGTAAGTAAGGCTTTTCCCTATTAAATACCCTTATATTTCTACCTGACTCCGTATTGGTAATTTCACACTTTAACATTCATTAGGAAAGGGCTGATGGCCTTAAAGTTACACATGGCAGAGATTGGAGTATAAACAGGTAGATCTCTGAGCAGGCAATAGGGAAACCCATCTAAGACTACATAGGGAGATTTTAGTCTTTTAATGGCTCCTTTAATAACGCTCAACTTCAGCTTACAAAGCTACAAGCTAAGCTTTGCCCATCAGGAATTGCCAGTGAGCGATGAAAATAAGACAGCGGTGGGTGTGATGGGTAATACTGACTGCCAACTTGACAAGATCTACAATTATCTAGAAGATATAACTCTAGGCATGTCTGTGAGGGAGTTTCTAAACTGAAGTAATTGATGTGAGGGAAAAAACATCCTTAGTGTGAGCAGTACCATTCCATGGACTGGGGTCTTGAACTGCATAAAAAGGAGAAAGCAAGAGAAGTACCCACATTCATCTGTGTTTGCTTCCTGACTATGACCAGCTGCCTCATACTGCTGCCTGCCATGCTTTCTTGCTATGATGGAGTGTACCCTCGGACTGTGAGCCAAAACAAACTCCTCTTGTAAGTTAAATTTGCCTGCTATTTTGTCACCAAAACAGAGGAAGTAACTAATATAGAGAATTTGTCACCCTGAATAATGCCTAGGGGGCACAGATTAGTTTAACACCACCACCACCACCACCCTAATCTTGTTTATCTTGAAGACAAGGCACATGTAGGCCAGAAGTTTGCCTCAGGTGAACTGGCAAAACTGGTTGGATCCAAGGTGGCTGCCAGAGTGATGTCAAACAGTCTCTAACTTCATTATTTGGTGACATGTTTGCTAAAGGACACACCTTCCAGTGCCAGGACAGTTGGCAAGTGTCATGGAAGGAATGATAACAGGAGCAGAAGAAGATGGTGCCTGATTTCTGGGAAATCTATACCTTTGTTAGCCTATATCCCCCTCATCTCTTTTACTCTTATCTGTAATCTTCCAGCAGCCAAGGATAGGGAGATTGCTTTGTGAGTCTGCCGCCTTATATCTCCTGCTCTTGACAAAGATAAAAGTCACCTTCACTGCTCAGTTGGTGTGATATGTCCTCATTGATTCCATAATTCCAAAACAGAACTTGTAACAAAGCTAGTTTTAAAATACACTAAAATTTAAAATATGACAGCTTAATGGTATCTCATAAAAACACAAACTTAGCTTGGTGTTCTGTAGTTCTCCTATAATCTCAGCACTAGGGAGGCAGAGGCAGAAGAAGCAGGAGTTCTAGGCCAGCCCTGGCTACATGAGACCTTGTCTCAAAAATATGAAATAAACTATTAAACAAACAATAAACAACAAAAAAATCCACAGGCTTTCAGCAAAGCATCTGACATCTGCTTTGGGGTTCTTGTTGTTGTTGCACTGGAGACCAAGGCCAGGGACACAAACATGCTAAGAACATTCTCCATCTCTGGGCTATAACTTCCAGCCCCTAGCTTGAGTTTGTTTGTTTTCACTTATTTGAATCAGGTTTCACTCTGTGATACAACTTGGTGACTAGGCTCAAGCAATCCTGTCTGAGTAGCTTGTCTACAAACGCAATCATGTCAAGTGGCCCTGACATTCCCTGAAAGCCACATCTCATTCGCTAATACTCAGGTTTCTGAGCCTCATGAAGCCCATGACAGTGCAGGCCACACCCCCTCAGTGTCTACCTGCTGATACTCCTGTTTCTGAGCCTCAAGGTGGTCATGCTGGCGCTGCAATTCTTCCTTCTGCTTCTGCAGTTCATCTGCCCTCTTCTTTAGTTCATTTTCTTGCATAGCAATAATGCTTTCATATTCTTTTAGTTCTTCCTCAGTGAATAACTGTTGCTGCCCCAATGTCTAAAAGAAAGGGAAGTAAATAACAGTGCCAGAAACAAAGGAATGCCATTTTCAACTTTAAAATTCCAGAATTGTCTGGGCTGGAGAGATGAATCAGCAGTTAGAAGCAGAGGACCCAGGTTCAATTCCCATCATCCACATGGCAGCTTACAACTGTCTAGAACTCCAGCCCCAAGGGATTCAACACTCTCACACAGACAAACATACAAAACACCAGTGCACATAACATAACAATAAATAAATCATAAAACATTTAAAATTATGGTTATCATTGTACAAAAGAGCATATATAGTATACTTTTTGGCAAAATAAGAAAAAATATATTAATGAGGCAGGGTGGTTCATTCCTGTAATGGCCTCCAGTTCAAAATCAGCTCAAGCTACATAGTGAGTTCCAGTCCAGCCTGGTCCATAAAATGAGATCCTCTCAAAATACAAAACAAACAAAATGAGAAGGATTCATGTCCAGATTAGTGATGTGACTTCCAGAATAGCCTGGACTGCACAGTGAGTGAGTGAGTGAGTGAGTGAGTGAGTGAGTGAGTGGGTGGGTGAGTGGGAGGGGGGATGGGTGAGTGAGGGGGTGGGTGGGGAGGTGGGGGGGGGGGGGGGGGGGGGGGGGGGGGGGGGGGGGGGGGGGGGGGGTGGGTGAAGGAATGAGTGAGTGAGTGGGTGGGTGAGTGGGAGGGTGGATGGGTGAGTGGGTGGGTGGGTGAAGGAATGAGTGAGTGAGTGGGTGGGTGAGTGGGAGGGTGGATGGGTGAGTGGGTGGGTGGGTGAAGGAATGAGTGAGTGAGTGGGTGGGGGGGGGGGAGGGGGGGTGGGGGGGGGGGGGGGGGGGGGGAGGGAT